AGCAGGAATTAAAGAAACCTCACCCTGAACCATCGTTGTTTCTTCCATGTCAAACAGGCTCACTTTCCTGCCTTGTTCCGTCTTTCTAACCATGCAGCCCCTGAACATCTGCTGTCTTGGTGGAAAGGGGGTTCTTTTGTTTTAATGAAGGTAGCCTATGTGACAAAATAGCCATATCCGTATAGTGTTGCCCCAGTGTGGTGAATCTGTCCCTACAATTGGGAGCCAAGTAGTAGGCTCTTGAGTTCAAACATCACGCTTGACCCTTGAAGTTCTCAAAGTATTGGGAGGAGGAAGGGGGAAGAAGGAGGCCTAATAAGGACAAGAGCTGACTGGGAGCTCCCTGTGGCTTTGAAGGTGGGCTGCGTTTGGACCAGAGGCTCCACTAGCAGTCCAGTGTGCTCCTACGAGCCTTGAAGCGTGAGTGTATCTGCTTGGCAGATCTGCGTTGTATTCAATGGCAGTTTTTCCCTTTGTTCTCTTGGTTACGGCTACTTACATAATTCTAGTTTCTGTCCTAGTTGTTGTGTTTTTTTCTCCTAGATTATGATAATATATATATTTTTTTAAATTTATTTTATTTATTTATTTTTGGCTGCTTTGGGTCTTCATTGCTGCGCGCGGGCTTTCTCTAGTTGCGGCGAACGGGGTCTACTCTTCGTTGCAGTGCGCGGGCTTCTCACTGTGGTGGCTTCTCTTGTTGCGGAGCACGGGCTCTAGGGGCGCGGGCTTCAGTAGTTGTGGCTCGTGGGCTCAGTAATCGTGGCTCATGGGCCCTAGAGCACAGGCTCAGTAGTTGTGGCGCACGGCTTAGTTGCTCCACAGCATATGGGATCTTCCTGGACCAGGGCTCGAACCCGTGTCCCCTGCATTGACAGGCGGATTCTTAACCACTGCACCACCAGGGAAGCCCCTATGATAATATTTTATTCCTGTCCCCATTATTTGTTGTAAGTTTCTTATTTATTTCTAGTCTTCAGAAGATACCCTGCCCTCAATCAAATACTCCCTTCTTAGTGATTAACAAATCCTTCTGAAGGATGATGAATAAAAGTGGAGATAGAGTTGTAAGGTGTAAGGTACATGATACCTTTTGGTTTTATGTGGGTTCTTAAGATATATGTCTATATTCCATATCCTGTAAGTAAATCTGGAAATATCCTAGTCCAGCCTTGCCTACGAGGGGATCCATGGAGAAATGAAAGCTGGTGATTCAGGGAAAAGAAGAGTAGGAGTAAATGGGCATTTCTTGATTCTTTTATCCCTCACGTTTGAAAATAGTGAAGGGGACAGGGGCCCCCTTAAAGAACCTCTTATCCAGCAACACGTATTTTTAAAACATGGCTTAGTGGATTTTGTGTTATGTTCAGTCCAGGGGTTTGCTTTTAATGATTTGCCAGGAATTTTTTTTTTTTTTAAGGAAAGACAATGTTCCAAGTTGCTCTATAGATCATAGTTTACAAAGACTTCTAATTTTAAATTTACAATAAGACAACAACAAAGCAAACTACTTTTCTTCTTGGATGTTTTTCTGCGAAGGCAGAGAGATGCTAGAGTAACTATAATGCCTTTTCTTCTTTTTTTTTCCCCCAATTTGTGCCACAGTTCTTACACTCCTTTCCTTTTATCCTCTCTTCATCGGGGTCCTTCTTCTTGCTTTGCTTTTCTTCTCTTTGTTTACTTTTGTCCATCTTGTTTTTCAGTTATTTCCTCTCATAGGTTCTTTATCAAATTCTTTCACTTAAAATGTTTTATAAACAGGTACCCAAAAGGAACAAAAAGCATGAAGTATTTTTTGTCATTTTTTTGTTATGCACACAAAAGGCACAGTTAAAAAGTCTGCTAAGTTTTATTCTAGAATGTATATAGCACTTCAGAACAAAAACAGAACTTTCTTACTTCAGTTCATGTCTTATTGTGCCATTACCATTTCTTATTACTCCATTCTCATCTCAGAGCTTATTTTCTAAGGACAGGAATGGGAAGAAGGTCAGGAACTGGGGAAGAGAGGTGGTGATGGGGAGGACTGAGGAGTTGGCCCTCAGAAAGCAGGAAAGCGAACAGCGTCGGTTGTTTCCACACCTGTAATGACAGCAACAAGGAGATGTTGTTGATGTCCAATATGACTGCCTTTAGTGTCTCATCCTGGTGTGTGATACAGTTTTGACTTAGATGGCCACTTAAACATATTCAGTATAATGCCCCAAGTTTTTACTGAACATTTACTCTTTTTAAAACATTCCCAAGTGCAACAAAGTTATAAATATATTCCTCCTTTTGAAAAGGTTTGGGGAATTTTAAGTAATTCCATTAAATATAATAGAGGAATGACAGAAAAGAAGCATAGTTTGAAGCTATATAGTACAGGACTTTGGACGTCCCAGTGGCTAGAGGAATTTGGACTTGGGGAGTATTGGGGTGCCGTTGAAAATGTGTGAGTGAGATAATGTCATGATCAGAGGTATATTTTAGAAAGGTGAATGCGGCAAAGTGTGAATGAAAAAGAAATTGAAGGTCTAGGAATTAGTCAAGAGGTTAGTGACAAAGTCCAAACAGAGAGTCAGGAATACTTGAACTAATGATGGTAGCAGTGAGAAAGGAAACGCGAGGAGGTGGTAGGAGACATTTTTAAAGCATAACTGCCCAAACTTGGAAGCACCCAAGATGTCCTTCAGCAGGTGAATGGATAAATGAACAATGGCACATCCAGACAGGGGAATATTAGTCAGCACTAAAAAGAAATGAGCTATCAAGCCATGAAAAGACATGGAGGACCCTTACATGCATATTACCAAGTGAAAGAAGCCAATCTGAAAAGGCTACATACTGTATGATTCCAACTAAATGATATTCTGGAAAAAGCAAGACTACAGAGACAGTAAAAAAGATTAGTGGTTACCAGGGCTTAAGGGGAAAGGTGTCATGAATAGGTGGAGCACAGAGGATTTTTAGGAAAGTGAATATACTCTGTATGATATTATAACGATGGATAGCTGTCATTATACATTTGGCAAAACCCATAGAATGTGCAGCACGAATAGTGAACTCTAA